AAAATTGGCCTTCAATCTTAAAAGAAATTCTGTGAAAATTTTGGACCTATGTGGTTGCACCGCTCGCACCTGCTCAAAACCGCCCCACAGACTATATTTTCCAATGAACTATTTTAATTAAATTTGTACACTAGTTGTCTCTGATTTAGCTTGAGAGTTGGGGCCAGGTAATGATTTATGCGAGTAGTTATGACTTCAGTCCATTAAAAACTGTATGAAAAAACAAAACAATAAAAAATACTAATAGGTGTGACAAAAAAAATACTAAGTGGATTATTCGCATAAATTGCGTGTTGATGTTCTATTGGGAGGTCGAAAAAAGCAAATGACATTGACAACGTTATTAAACTTTTATTTTATTTTGTCAACACGTTGTAACTCAAAAACTCTTACGGGCATGATTCTATACAATCTTTCTAATAACGATATTCAATAGGGAATAATTGTTTCCTTATGCATGGGTGCGTTTACAGGTATGTGGTCCAAATGTATCTTTAGACCGGCCTGCCAATCGTATCTAATTTTTGTGTTGGATTTGGTAAATTATAATATACAACTAATTACTTCAAATCTATAGATGATCACGATTAGAATAACTATATTTTGAATGTTTTTTGACTGAACGACTTGTTCAATTCAAATTAAATTAGTCGTTTTGTGATTTTGGTTCTTGTGTTAAAGGTTAGCTTTTTATAATCATGACCATCTTTTTATTATAATTATTAATATTTAATGAATTTGAAGATATTTAAGGACAATTGTAATCTTAGCTGTCCATGTTTATTGATAGTTATTTGTACTAAACAACAAACAATCTTTTAAGCAAACTAAAATAGCAAAATGATAAGAAGTAATTTAACTATTACACCTGAGACAGCAGTTAAATTAAGAATTAATCTATCCATATATAGTTATCCCATCGCTCTCGTACGTTGATGATAAGTAAAAATATGTATATTTCATTCCACTAAACTTATGGTAAAAAGAAATATCACATTAAATATTTTATGGTCAACTATCGTCGTCGCCTTTTTGTTTTAGGTCCACTGA